TTATCTACAGCCTACCAGTCTCTATTCATCATATGAGCATACAAAGCTATTTTTATCACTCCAGACATTCCACAGGTCTTAGAAACTCTGTACCAGGACACTGGACTAAGACCAATTACAGACCGCACAATATCACATTTGATGACCAATTCCAGTTCCATATTGCTCCAGAACGTGACAGAAATGAGAGAAATACTCTAAATGAAATAATTTCCACAATGATCCAATCAGTTCCTTGTAACAGAAACAATTTCACATTCTACTTTAGTTACATCATAGCAAATCTGCACAACATGAAACCCAAGATTAAATGAGTTTTTGTTTGTTCCTTCTCCACCTTGCTGAGGATTGAATCCAGAAGCACTCTACTCCTGAGCTACATTCCCATCCCTTTTCATATTTTAATTTGAGACAGGGTCTTCCTAAATTGCCTATGCCCTTAAACTCAGAACCTCCTGCCTTAGTCTTCCAAGTAGTTGGCATTACAGGCACATGATGAGGTTTTAATGAATAAAAACACACTGAGGGAAAGGAATTTTTCTGTTTTTCCCCCCTCACAAACCTGAGAGGCCTATGAGCCTGCACAGCACATCTTTATGGCAGGCCCACAAGCAGCAAATTTTCTTTATTCTAGGCCAGGATTTGGAAAAATAGGCATAAGCTAATCAGTCCTCTATTTGTGTACATCAGTTTGACTGGAACACAACAAAACATTTCTTTATACGCTTTCCCTTGGTGCTTTTGTACTAAAATGAGAATTTCCTTGCAATAGAAATTCTCTGGCCTTCAAAACCTAAAATATTTCCTATATGATCCAATAAAGAAGCAGATGGTCAACCTGTGTTCTAAAACAGCTAGGCAATACCCATCACAAGACACATTGTGATAGCAAGAACCAGAATTCGTTGTTCCTCACTGCCTAGAACATATGAACCTTTGAATATCTGATGAATGAAAACTGTTAATGGATGGATGAATGAATTCTAATCTGTGAAGCCAAGTATGTAAATCTGGAACCTCTTTTCTGTGAGACCTTTGTAATCACGTTCACATTCAATTGAATGACATATATTCCTTTTAAATAAATGCATAAAACAGCTAGAAAGCCAGACACAGAGGTACACACCTATAACCCCAGTTACTTGGGAGGCTGAGGCAGGAGGATTACTATTACAAAACTGGTAAGCCAGAGTATGACAAGTTTACTTGTCTTCAAAGCCTTAAATGCCTGAGTATATTTCTGGACTCATGCCTTACAATTTAGTTATTATTAGAGTTTTTTTTCCCTATTATCAGAATTTCACCTAGAACACTGTTGGGCACTATAGTTTCAGAGGAAAGACTTTATTCAAATGTGCTATCTCTAAGCTTCTCTTCCAAGCCATTGGCCTTGGGCAAGGACATTTTTCTTAATACCCACACCAACTACTCCTTAATATCATTTTACTTAGGTAATATTTGTGCTTACGCAGTCATGGGTGTTAGTTATGGAAAATGAAAAACCCCAAGATAGTGCAGCCTGGGAAGAGGGAGTGAAAAAGAAAGCCATACATCGATAGCCTTCATCTCTTGAAAGATAAATCCTTTTCAGACTTGGGCCACAAGTAGGGAGAAAGTGTTTCATCAAACCTAAAATGATAATCTCTGGGAAGCTTTTAATCTCTTTCAAGATGAATCCTCTCCAGGTACTGGCCACAGACCCCTCAACCCCCAAACTCAAAATTCCTGAGTGCCCAAACTGACATGCCCACTAAATCACCTCTCAGTGTAACCTATTTAAGCCCAGCTCCTTTGGCCTGTGGCTCATTTCCACCAGGACAGTGAGTCCACTGGAGGTATAATACCATTCCTGATAAAAAGCTGATGAGAGCTGGGAAGGTACTCAGTGGTCAAGTGCTTGCCTCGCCATGTGTGAGGCACAGGGTTCACTCCTCAGCACCACATAAAAATACATAAAGACATTGTGTGTTCATCTACAACTAAAAACAGACTTTAAATTTAAAAAAAAAAATACTGAAATGATCATAGTTTGCATCCGGCCTAGTCTTTTTGTGCTAACAATGGGAAATAAAGCACCAAATAGAAAATTCCTGAAGTGCCAAGCACAGTGTTGCACACCTCTAAACCCAGCTACTAGGAAGGCTGAAGCAGGAAGATCACAAATTGCAGGCCAGCCTGGCCACC